TGTTGGTTGCGGCGTCGCGCAGCTGTACTTCACTTGCTCTGCTGCAGCCACCAGTTGTTTATGTATTCATGTAGAAGCTGCAGCAGCAGCAGCAACAACAGCAGCAACAGCAGCAGCAGCAGCAGCAGCAGCAGGAGAAGAGTTTGCTTACATGGGAGGATTTCCGTGGGGACCAGCAGCAGCAGCAGCAACAGCAGCAGCAGTAGCAGTGGTAGCAGCAACACGAATGCCTGTTGCGCCGGGTACTGCATGCAAATAAATTAAAATAAATAAATAAATAAATAAATAAATAAATAAATAAATAAATAAATTATATGCTGCTGCAGCAACAAAACTCTCTCACGCATTGGCACCAACAAGCGGCGTTGCTTCGCTCCTTCGGCTGTTGGATCGCAGCAAGGCTCGTGTGTCCTGAGGGGTAAGAGAAAATAAAATAAAATAAAATAAAATAAAATAAAATAAAATAAAATAAAATAAAATAAATAAATAAACAAATAAGAAGAGAGAAAGTAAATATATTAAACAGAGAAAATAAATGAAAAAAATATTCATCACCGCGCAGATGTGACGCTCGCTGATTGAGGGGGAGTGTAAGTCTGTCTCTCGGGGCCACTTAAGCTGCAAGCCAGAGCTGAGAGTCTAAAAAAAAAAAAAAAAAAAAAAAAAAAAGGGTTTAGGGTTTAGGGTTTAGGGTTTAGGGTTTGAGTTTTATTCTTACCTGGGCGTGGTGGGCGCTGCAGCACTCCTCAGTTCTATCCCCCTGAACTCATCGAGGTAATTATATTGCATGCTGCATGCAGCTGCTGCATGCGGTGCTGTGTCTTGTTGTATTAGAGTTCGTTGCTGCTGCTGCTGTTGCTTCTGCTGCTGTTTCTGCTGCTGCCGGTGCTGCTGGAACTGTTGCTGCTGCAGATGCTGCAGATGCTGCTGCTGCAGCTGCTGCTGCCGCAGCTTTTGCTCGTGCTGCTGTTGCTCCTGAAGCAGTTGCTCCTGCAGCTGTTGCTGCTGCTTCCGGTGCTGCTGTAGCTGTTGCTGCTGCAGCTGTTGCTGCCGCAGCTGTTGCTGCCGCAGTTGTTGCTGCCTCAGCTGTTGCTGCAGCAGCTGTTCCTGCAGCAGCTGCTGCTGCTGCTGTTCCTGCTCCAGCTGTTGCTGCTCCAGCAGTTGATTTTGCTGCTGTTCCTCCTGTTGCTGCTGCATGCAGTTGTAGTATACTCGCTCATCCAAGCACCTGCGTTTCACGCGATCCTGAGGAGACGAAGTGCCTATTCTTTTCTGGCGGCGCCACATTTGAAGTTTCGTTATTTTCTGGTGTATACTCGACAAAAGTTTGCCGAGTTCAGATTCTTGTTGGCGCCAGTTTACAGCGGAAACCCACGATCTAGCGCTTTCGAGTGTACGTACACAGTGTTGCGAGAAGATGCCGTCCGCCATATTGCCTCAAAACCCCCTGAGAAGAAATAATGCGCGCAATGGAAACACACAGTGGGCAGCAGTGTGCGACGGAAACTCTGACGAATGAAGCCAGCAAAAAGCTCCTTTGACCCGTTCTTATGCAGGATACACAGGGTTAGAAATACCGAAGAAATGAAACAAAGTGATTCAAAATTTTCCAGTCATTAAGGGCTGAAAGAGAAGAACAGGATTTGTTGAAATGCCAACTTGTATTCGCCGAGAGGTGCCGTGGTTTCTCCTGGGGTGTACGTGCAGATCAAGTTGAACAGCGTGAAGTTTCAGATCGCTTTCTCGAGGTTTCCGGTGGAAATTGGAAACCTAGGCAAAAGAAAGTTGCAAGAAGAACACAAAAACATAATTTCCATTCAAAATAACCAAAGAAACCCAGAAAAAAGCTTCTCTTTTTTCAGTTTTTTGCGTTTCATTTCACTCATTTGAATTTCATGAACTGAAACTGAACGAGCTGCCGAGACACCCGAGACGGCGGAAAGCCGATGCGCATAACAAGCGGAGTTTCAGGGAGCCACATCAACATATTCTGTTGAATAAAGTGGAATTAAAAAAGAAAATAAATATATATTACATAAAAAACAATGTTTCACCTCGTCTTGCATGCGAAGGCAGCGAACCAGACCATGGGGCCCCCATTGCAGTTCAAGTTTATCGGCGGGGGGCCCCC